GTTAGCTGTTATATACTCTTAAGTGTCTAGACTTACTTATCCCTCCTCTAGGCTATATGTTTCCAGTATCTTCAACTTAGTGAATGGTCTTGGGACACACACAGAGAGGTCAGGGTCAAGTGACTTGCCCACTATCACAATTGTATATGTCATAGCCAGGCCTTGAATTTAGGTCTGCCTGATTCTGAGGTTGTCCTTTGTGCATTATACCAGATTGTCCTTCTAAATTCTCAGATGGCATGAACATGAGGCCCTCCACCATCCTGTTACTCTCCTCTGAATGATCTGCAGTTTATCAATATCCCTTCTAAAATGTGGAGCCCAGAACTGAACACAATACTTTATGTAAGGGCTGACTGGGGCAGGGTACAGTTGGATCTCCTATTCACCAGCCCTTAACATCTGCCTCCCCTGCTCCTGTTACTGGGCTGTTGAATTGTAAAGTCATTTAACCATGTTGACTGCATCCACTATAAATTGATGTCATCTGATTTCAATGAGACCCTCTCTGTCACGAGGAAATCTGTTTACTCTTTCTTCTGTAATTGATTCTGTAATGCAGTTTTGCTTTTCCTACAGTGGTTATTCCAAGTCTTCTCCTTAAGTTTCCCATACCTTCTCTCTGTTATCCTCTCCACTTAAAAATTCACCTCAGAGAAAAGACATTTGCTGTAACTTCCTCTTCTTCCTTTCTATACCCCTGTTCTATAGATCAAAACCCTTTGTCATTGTCCCCCTTTCTGTCCTATGTCACTCCAGTCTCTGATGAAATGGTAATTCTTTTCTTCATCAATGTCAGATCTTCTTGTGCCCTTTATCCCATTTCCTCCCTTCCCTTTCAGCAGATTTCCTTTCTTTCCACAATCATTCCGCTCTCTATTTTTCAAGTTCCTTCTATTTACTCTTTCCCTGCTGCCTAGGAATACGCCTAGTTCTCCTCTATCTTAAAAAAAGTTCACTTGTTCCTATTATGCTTTCAAGTCCCTATGTCTCATCTCCCTTACACAGCAAAATTCCAGAAAAAAACTATCTATAATCATTGTCTCCACTTCCTTTCATTTCAATCTATTTCCAATCCTTTTAGTATGGCTTCCATCATCATCATCATCATCATCATCATCATCATCATCATTATCATCATCATCATCATTATCTTCTTCTTTTTCATCATCGTCATCATCACCACAGTTAACATTTATATAGTGCCTTAATATTTGCAAAGTGCTTTATCTTAACTCATTTTATCCTTACAACAACCCTGTGCTATTATTATCCCCATTTTATAGATGAAGTAACAGACTGAGAAAAGTTAAGGGATTTGCCCGGGGTCACATAGCTATTAAGTGTCTGAGGCCGCATTTCCATGTGGATTTTTCTAACTCCAGGTCCAACACTTCAAATAGTATATCACTTGGCTGCCTCATCACTCATCTGGAACTTCACTCTCTAGAGTTACTAGCAATCTATTAATTACCAAATTCAATGACCTTTAACTGTTCCTATCCTTATTGTCTCTGCAGCGTTTGATGCTGTCCACCCCCTTCTTCTCCTAGATACTCTCTGTTCTGGGTTTTCATGACACTGCTCTCTCTTGGTTCTTCCTATCTGTCTGGCTACTCTTTCTGAGTGTCCTTTGGTGGACGTGTTCTGTCACCAACCATGAATATAACCCGAGGCTCTTTTCCCTTGTTTCCCTACATTCTTTTTCTTAGCGATTGTATCAAATTCCATGGATTTGATTATCCTCTCTATGCAAATGACTCCTAGAACAATACATCTAGTTTTCATCTCTCCTTGCTCTAGGCCTGTGTTAGCAGTAGTTTATTGCAAATTTTCCATTCGATGTCCCCTAGATACCTTCAACTCTAAATATCCCAAACCAAATTTGTCTTTTCTCCCAAACCCACTGCTCTTCTGTAATTCTCTATTTCATTTAAAGGCACCACCACTCTTGTAGTCACACAAGTTCACAAACTAGGAGTTGTCCTGGACTCTTAATTCTCCTTCATTTTGGGGAAAGTACCAGGCTGGCCAACATTAATTTCCCTCCAGGCTGTGCTTTTGACTTTCTGGACTTCAATACCATGCCTTAGTCACAGTTTTACCTCAAACCTCCTTAGCACCTGGGGTATCTCTGCTCTGGAGTATTCATTCTCCCCTGCTATTCTCTCATCCTGGAACAACCCTCCGTCATGCCAGCTCCTTTCTTCCATTGGTTAGTTCCTTGTAGGGCCTCCATTTTTGGGAAGGGACCCAGGCCAGTCAACCTTTCTTCATCTCCCAGAGGAGCTTCTGACTTTTTGGACTTCAATACCACGTCCCAGAATGGTTACCTTTAGCTCTTTCCTCTGTCCTTTCTGTTTTCAGCTCCAATTTGTATATTGTCTTCCCCCTTTACAATGTAAGCTCCTCGAGGGCAGGGACTGTCTTTCTTTTGGTTTGTATTTGTAACCCTAGCATTTGGTGCCTAGGAGTAAACTAGGTGCCCACACAATAAACACTTATTGCTTGCCTGACTACTCCATCCAACACTTTCAAATACAGTAAAGAGGTCAGGAAGGATGTGGACTAAGACAAGGTCATTAGATTTGTCAATGAAAAGAGCAGTTGTTTATCTGTTTTCAAAGTAAGCTTAAGCATTATCTTCTATGTAATGTTTTTCTTGATCCCTCTAGTTATTTGAAATTACTTTGTATATATTTCATATTTATATATATGTGCACTTTTTACCCCGATAGAACGTAAGCTCCCTGAGAATGGGGGCTGTTTCATTTTTTTCATTCTTTTTCTCTTCTACCTGCCCCAGCAACCGTCATGGTACCTGGTATAGTTTAGGTACTTCATAAATGCTAGTTGATTGATTGGCTATTGATTCTATAGTCCTGAGTGCTGTACATCTCTTTATGTAGCTATAGAGAAGGCTGTCCCCTATATGTAACATGAGGATGTCATTGTGTGGCTCATAGGGAGACAGAATAGACATCTCTAGCCTCTTTTCCAACCTTTCTCTAGAGAGACTTTATTCTCTGCCAGGAAGTGAAACAGGAAGTTGGAGCCAGAGGCTGACCACTCTGCTCTCTTCAGAGAGAAAATTATATTATATATAATTTTATCTATCTGCTCCATTCAATATTGTTAGTCTAGGGGATATGATTTTCAAGTTCAAGCTAAACTTCTGATTGCTATTTCTTAATGGGAAATGAGGGCTCTATATGCATAGGAGTATACGTAGTATATATAGGAGAATATATACCAAACAATATAGATTGAAGGAGTTCTCCCATTGGAAGGAGAAAGAGAGAGAGAAATAGAGAGAGAGAGAGAGAGAGAGAGAGAGAGAGAGAGAGAGAGAGAGAAAGAGAGTACTAGGTCACTCAAAGGGGTACCTCCCTGAAGTCTCTAGTGTAGTAAGCTGGGGATAGGGACATGATGGAGACTGGTAACTCCTTTCATGTCAGCTTCTTCCCAGAGTCTTATTCTCCCTCCAGTAATCTGAAGTGGGATTGGCATTGTCCATCTTCTCTCTCTCAAAGTTGGAAGCCAGATGCACCCAAAAGGACTGCAGAGGCCAAAGAGACTGGAGAACCCTCAAAGAGCCTGGAGCTCTCTTCTCTCCTGCTGTTACCATCTCCATCCTCCCCCTGCTGCAAACACAGGGCATTAACCTCCTCCAATAAGGAGAAAGTCTCATACCAATGGGTTTTGGGACTCGGGTTACATAGCCTAACATTGAACTAGCAATTTTGGCTGTTGTACCTCCTTGTTGGATTATATAAAGCTTATGCTACTTGAAAACTTCCAAGTTTGTTTTTTTTTTTCAATTGCTCTGCTGCTGCTTAACTACACATATCTGATCTGGTACTTGTGAAATTTAATTTTTTGAACCTAGTATAAGACGTTACTTTATGTGATCGTGAATATAATAATAATATATGAGGAAGAGAGCTCAAGGATGATGAATGGGGTTTGGCAAGTGGGTATAAATTTCAGGCATGGAGTAAGTAAAATGGAAATATCTAAAGGGCAATAGCATGGGCTAGGACAATGGCTAATAGTGGTAGGAGGAAAGTGAAAAGACTGTCAGGGGAAAAGCAGTTTGTCTTTTTTTCTCCGTCTACCTCTGGTTTACTTGTCTTCCTTAGGTTTTAAGAAAGTCCTCTGCTTATGTTCCTCAGAGTCATGGCCAGGCTTTGTTTTTGAAGTTTAGATTCATTGCCATTGAATTTTCCAGGTGTGGATTAAGAAAGTTTTGTTCTGGGGATGTTTGCTGAAAGCTAGCTTCTACCAAGATGACTTAGGATCACCTTGGCAGAAGGTCTTTAGATAGCGTTCCCAGGGGACTTCTGGGATTTGGGATCCTCAGTCAAATGATACCAGTGTGAGGTGTGAGATGATACAAGTCTCAGAAGGTAGTCTTGTTCCTGCCCTACCTCCTTGAATTGAGGGAGAAGTGGTAGGTCCATGTACTGAATTTAAAGGGGCTAAGGTGAAACATGAATAACCATATCTTAATGATGCCTTTTCTTCAAGGGCTGGAGAAAGATGAGGATTTATTCATAAAATGGAAAGACAACATGGTTTAGACAACAGTTAGTCAGTCAGTCAACAAGCACCACCACGTCCCAGGCATTGTGCTATACTGTGTATCTCATCAACACCTTTTGAAGAATAGATGTGCTTTTACAGGAGCTTCATTGTAAAAAAGCACAGACAAATCCAGGGGTATGCTGGAGTCCACCTCAAACAACTCTTAGGAACCAACAGCCAACAGCCAATATTCAGTGTGAGCATTTACACTTCAGAAATTGGCATATGCTACAAATCAAGGTTTGATTTATTGATTGTCTAGACTTAAGAAAGTGATAGAGAAAATGTCAAACAAAGCAAATTAAGCTTAAAAGCATGGTATGCATTTTCAGAGAGTCAGTTGTTAAGTATTTACAGAATACCCGTGGACAAATCCATGTTCTCAAATGATATAAGAATTTTGAAATACTTACCATCATCCATGATTCCTATGGTAACTCCTTTCCCTGTGTAGCCTAGCTCCCAGGCTTCAGCCACATTCAAATCAAGTCCTGGAGTCCCATCAGCTTGTCCAGTGTTGATCTGATATACGAATTTAAAAGCAGAAGAGCTTTATTTATTTTGTGTCGAGTACTAAGAGTTTTCATTTCATATTTATTGTAATGGTGCTTTTATGTTCTTTTCTGCATTGTGGTTTCTACATGTTTACTATATAATGTTATATATTCATGTATATATCATATCCTACCTACTAACTTGTAAATGCCATGAAGGCATGTCTTTTTATTTTTGTATCTCCCACAGTGTTTTGTACATAGTAGGCTCTTCATAAATGGACTATGGAATCATAGTTACAAATCTGGAAGGGACCTTAAAGGCAATTGAGTCCAATACTTTTATAGATGAGGAAAATCAGGAACATAATAAATTACCCAGGGGCAGGTAGGTGGTGCAGGGGAGACAGTGTTGGGCTTGGAATCAGGAAGACTCATTTTCATGAATTCAAATCTGGCCTCAGACACTTACTAGCAGTGTGACCCTGGGCAAGTCACTTAACCCTGTTTGCTTCCATTTCCTCATCTGTAAAATGAGCTGGAGAAGGAAATGGTGAACCATTCCAGTGTCTTTGCTGAGAACACCCCAAAATGGAGTCATGGAGAGTCAGACATGACTGAAACGACTGAACAACAGCAAAAACTCACCCAGGGTCACAGAGCTAATACGTATGTAGGTGAGATTTGAATCCAGGCTTTCCTGACTCCAAGATCAGTGTCTTCCTAGCCATAATACTACACTGCTTCTAAACGGTTGTTGAATGAATGAGTGGCTAACATGCTTTACTGTGTGATCTAATGTGCAAGGTTGAAAACAAACTCATGCAAAGCAACAAGATCCCAAATCCACACTTTTGCTTTCTCTTTAAGTCGTGATCTTTATCCCTTGGCACAGTTCACCTCTCAGGCAGGCTTGTAATGCATTGGCTGTTCTATGGACCTTTAAGGTAAGCTGATAAACTATTCCTTTGGAAAGCTCTTGATGACTTTTTAATTGCCAAATTCAGTGACTTTTTCCTTAAGCCTCATTTTTTAAACCTCTCCACAGTATTTGACACTGTTAGGGGAGGGAGAATTAAGAGTCTGGGATGACTCATAGGTTGTGAACCTGGATGATGAGAAGATGAGTTCCTTATTGGAAATAGCACTGAATATACTCTAAAACACCTAAAATCCATGATTTAATTGTTATGGATGATCTCTTCTCCCACATGCATTGCAACTTCTCTAAGACTTAAGAATAATCTTTGAGGGTAGTTATGGTAAAAAAACAACAACAACAAACAAACAACAAAAAACTTACTTGTGTTGTATCTACTTTGGTTACAAACCTATCTTAACTAGGCTGGTCCTTGTATGACAGACAGATTCACTAGGCCCAAGAGTTTCTGGTTTCAAAGAAACCTTGCCTATCCGAAGCCTTTCTGGTTACAAAAGAGTAGCCAGAGCTAATTCTTCACTGGTCTAGCCTTCAAAAGGAGATGCTTCAGTGCCAAGGGTCAATTCCATGCCAAGATCATAGTATCATAGATTCAGAGCTGGAAGGAACATAGAACCCAATGAGGCTAGCCCCTTCTTGTTACAAATTAGGAAAATGTAGCCCAAAGAGGTTGAATGACTTGCCCAGGGTCACACAGTAAGTAAGTGTCTGAGGCAGGATCAGTAACCCAGTCTTCCAGCACTCTATCCACTGTGACACATAAGTTCCCTAAAATATTGATATTTAGCCAATCGAATTGAACAAGGATGAGGAGAAAGAACAGTCAGAGTTTGATTCTCTCTTAGGGAGTGACCACGTCTGGTAGCCTAGGAGCCTACTTAGAACCTAAGGTTATTGATTTACCTCCCGGGTAGCCCAATTTCGTTTTCTCTCTTGCCTTCTTCTCAGTTGCTGTCTTAAAACAAAATTCAGAAAAGCAGCATGTACGCTTTTAAAATTAAAGTAGCTCATTCCTCCTTAATGGCTTGCCCTGCTGATTGGTATTAGAAACATCTAACCCTCTTTGAGAAAATAATCCAAGCCAGATGAATCCGAAAGGACTACTGACAATCCTCAAAAAGGACTATTCCTCACAAGCCAGACTAGTTTTCAATGTCTTAAACTCCATGGCAGTTAAGCCCTATGGAACTTCTATTTTTTCCAGATGTTTCCAATACCATGTATAGATGTTTCCTTAGTCATCAAGTTCTTCTCTTTGTACCCCTGGGATGTCACCTAATGTAGCTCTTTCCCTTCTGATTTCATAGGGTGCTTCACCCTGCCTATTTTTTTCACTCCTGGGAAGTACTCTCCCTCACTTCTTTACTTACGTACATTATTGTATTTGTAGACACACACAGGAATATGTGCAAGTAGGCCCACATACATCTCTTCCTGCTCCTGAAAACTGACTTCAGGGATTTGTGTTTAGCTATAAGTACTATCTTTGGACTTCTGAAGTGAACACAGTTTCACCGCTTCCAAGAAAAGCAGATTTGAGGGAAAGATACATGGTATGAGAAGCAGTGGGCCCAGGCAGGGGGAGCCAGGAAGGAAAGCTGACCATTTCCAGAAGGTGATTAAATAAAATAGACCTGTACTCTTTACGAAATGCATTTCATTAAGTCTGCTGCAGGCTATTATTCATCACAAACAAAATTGAGGAACATAGAAATAGATCCAGAGCTCAAGGATCCAAGAAGAAAAACTTTCTAAAAAAATAATGAGAGGCTTACCAGGTACCACTGCTTTGTGAACAGAGGATCATTCATGTTGATGTCAATTTCATTAATGTCTCTATACCCGCGTTTTTTTCTGCCAAATCCTTCCTGCTGCAAAACCATCTTTACCTGAAATGACAACGTTGATGCATTATGCAACAAGATAGGAACACTTTGAGAACAGAAGAACCAATCCATGCCTCCTTTGATTTGTTTTCCAGGGGCCAGATTCCATCTATATATAACTCAGTGCTTTCTTAATAGAAGCCAAATTAATCTTATATATGCTCTCACCCTGAGATTGCTTCTAGTGAACATTTATTTGTGCTCATGGCAAACAAATAGGCCTTCACGTGTGCTCCAAGGGTACTTTCCTTGTAACAATTGTTGGGAGGCAAAATGAATATATTCATAGTAATAATAATAAGGAGGTTGGGTTCACTCAACAGTTCACATTGAGTGAAATAAAACAAAAGAAAAATATAGCTATGAAGAAGAATCAGATCAAGCCATGGACTTAAAGGGAAAGAGGAGGGAAAACAGCATCTATCATTCTTATGGAGGGTTTGTTAGCATTTACATTTGTTGACAGAGTACTGCACCATCACAGTTTGGAAATCTGCCAAGGAAATTGCCTGAGAAGCCAGTGAGCTCTGAAGCAAAGCACCAGAATGTATAAATGAGGTCCAACCAATCAGAATTTGATCGATGATGGCATTGTCTTCATTATGACCAAATACATAGATGTTGGACAGACAGAAACCTAAACTATAGGATATGAATGGCATTCATCCATAGGAATTGACACATTTAAATCTGACTTTGTTTATAACCACTCAACAGTAGCGATTATAACAAAGTCTTGTCTCCTACAAGGTACCATGATTTAATAGTAGTGAAAGCTAATTCATTGCCCCAAGGCAATAATGAATCTCTGAGGAAAATGGAGGAGCATTGCCAGGAAGGGAGTGTAGGAACGAGGGGTGTACCGGAGCCAACTTTAGCTGATTCATGAGAACCAGTTATTAAATTCTCAGTATGAACATTTATATTTTGGAAATTGGCAAGTGCCACAGATAAGGGCTTGGTTTATTGCTTTGTTGACTGACTAAAGAAAGTGATATAGAAAATGTTAATGATGCAAATTAAAACTTGAAAATATGTCCTGAGTATACTCCCCCCTTTCACTACCCCCCCACCTCCCCGAACTGTAAGGCTGGTTGTTAAACATGTACCAGCATACCTCTAGTAGGAACCTACTTAGAATGCTACTCTGGAATGGTGTGAGGGCAAGCAAGAATGAGTGGAGGTATTGAAAATTCTCCAAAATACTTGAAGAAAAATCAATTAACCAAGAATATTTATTAAATACTATATACAAGACATTACATTAGACACTGAGGATATAGAGGTTTGTTCTTTTGTCCTTTCTGGTACATTGTAGAGGAACAGGGTTCAGGAATGGTCCTTGAATTTCTTGCTTCCACATAATCAAAGAATCACAGAGTAGGACTTGGAAAAAGGAACCTCAGAGGGTTGGTACTCTCCTCTAACCAACACTTGAATAAGAATCCTTTCTACAACATAGCTGGAAAGAGTTAATTTAGCTTTTGCTTGAAGACTTCCACTGAAGAGGAACTCACTACCTACAGAGGCAGCAATTCACTTTTTGGATGGTTCTAATTAGAACAATTATTAAGAATTAACCTAAGTTTGCTTCTTTGCAACCTCTATCCATTGCACCAACTTATACCTCTGGGATCAAATAGAACAACTCATTAAATGGACAGTGGTCTAATCCCTCTCCCACATGGGGGATTTTGGTTGTGAAATAGTTGGAAATTTCAAAGTGTCAAATTTAGGATTGATATGATATGGAAAAGCTGGACAATTGGATGATTTAGAATGGGATAAATGGCTCTATTCAAAGAATAGTTATTAATGGTGTGATGTTAACTTGGGAGGAGGTTTTCAGTGGAATGTCTTAGAGATCTGTGCTGTTCAACATTTGTATAAATGACCCGGGTAAAGATAGAGATGGCATGCTTACTTGGGTTCAAAAAGTTGAGTTCAAAAGTATAAGATGAGGGAGGTAGTTTAGTTGAAAAAGATCTGAGAGTTTTAAAAAGTTGAAAAAGAACTGGGGGAATCCAAGCTCAACATGAATTAATAATGTGATTGTAGCAAGCAAGAAAGCTAATATTGTATTGGGTTACATTCAAAGAGGCATAGCTTCTAGGAATAAAGAGGTATTGGTCTCATTGTGCATTGGCCTGTTCAGATTTCATTTGGAATCTTAGGCTTAGTTCTGGGCCACTTTTTTTAGGAATGGCATTGATAGGATGTCCAGAGAAGCACCTGGGATGGTGAAGGGCCTGAAATTCATGCCATACACAGAGGAGTTGAAGGTTGGTAATGTTCAGCATAGAAAAGAGAAGATTTAGGGGAGAGATTATTGCTGTCTTTGAGTATATGAAGGGCTGTCTTGTGGAAAAGGGATTAGATTTACTTGACCTCAGGGAGCAGAATCAGAAGCAATGGGTAGAAATTACAAAGAAGTAAATTTAGGTTTGATGTAAAAAAATTCCTAAAAATTAGAAATATCACAAAGTGGAATGGCCTGGGTTGGAAAGTTGTGGATGAATCCTCAGTAATGATATAATTATAACAAGAAGTTTTAAGAGAAGTCCTTTATAATGGAGGTGTTAAACTCAAGCACCAATAAGCATAACCAGAACCAGAACAAAATATAATTGGGAAATGTTTGACAAAATAAATAAAAATATAGTATAACATAGATAATGTTAATTTGTGGTTTTCTAAGTCAAAATACTGCTGCTGGGATGAGTATCTTTATAACTTGGACAACTCTGCCCTATAATAATAATCATATTCTGAGATTCACTTCCTATTGAAGAGGTGGGGGGTTTTGGGGTGCTCCTAGTTGCACAGAGGCACCCCAAGATCACGGGAGGTTTTGGGGTGCTGGGAAAAAGCCCCAGATTGCGGTGCAGATCTGCCTGAAAGAATTCAACCCAGATCTTCTTCCAGCCAGAGAAAAAGTTTATTAAAGATAAAGCATATAGGCCAGATAATGCCCGTGAGGACAAGTGAGCTGGAGAATCTCAGCCTCTGGGCATGAGAGGTTCTCAGCGTCTGAATGGGGGCTGGGGACTAAGGTGGTCAGGCCAGGTGACGCCTGTAAAGACAGGCGGGCATGAGAGTCTCAGCCTCTAGGAGCATGAGAAATTCCCAGCGGATGAATGGGTCTGGGGTGAATCTTAAGTACAGAAAGATTGTGGGAGGGATCTAGGAGTGGACAAGTAGTTTGGGGTGAGGGGAGGCAGGGCCTAGGAAGATCTGGATGGGAGTGGCCAGCAAGCTGGGGTGAACAGAACTTCTGGGTCCTGGACCTCATGGTGCCTAGCTAGGATTAAGGGTGAGAAATGGCCAGGAAGGCAAAACAATGGAAGGAAGATTGGGTGTAGCCACAATGAGAGGTCACTTGAGAAAAAGGGTCCAGGTGAGAATTTCCATTTGGAATATCTGAGAAATTTGAACAGAAAATGAGAATAGATAATGAAGGGAGCTGGAAGGGGAAGTTTGCTTTCAAAAGGAAATAAAGAGAGACAAACAGAAGCCAGGTTCTTTTCAGGGCCAGGGAAGAAAGATGCATATGAATAAGGTCAACAAATGGGAGCCAAATTCCTTTTGGCGAAAAGGGGCGAAGGTAAACCCCTTCATTTCCCAGGGGGAATGCCAGAGATTTGGCCATGTGGGAAAGTCCAGGGTTTTTCCTTTCTGGGGTCCAGATCCCAATCTCATCACTATAACCTCCATTTAGAGTGGGTGCCCTACCCAAGCATTTCTTCTTTTCCCACCAGGCTTCATCACATGCAAGTCAAGACGTTACCCTGTGATGTCATTGGTCCTCTTTGAAAACGAAGGACAAATAACAACAACTCCTCTGGATTTCCCTGACAAGACCTGCATAGGCTACCATTTCCCCACTTCTCTTTCTCCCTGCCCGCTCTCTACTTTTCAGCTTCCTTTTATGTAGTGTCTTCCCTATTAGAATATAAGCTCCTTGAGGGCAGGGACTGTCTTTCTTTTGGCTCATATTTGTAGTCCCAGAATTTAGTGTAGTGCAATGCACTCAATAAATACTTATTGACTGACTTCAAGATCAGTGAAGAACTTATAACATTTAGAATGTGATGGGTAGGGTAAGTGCCTGAGGTATATGATACAGGTATAGCCAGGACAATTCTGATTCTATGTGAAACCACATAAGTAAAATAAAGACCTGCTTTAGGCTGTAATTCAAGCAAAAGACCTCCACTGTTTTCTTACCAATCCTAAAAATCACACTAAAACCATTTTCCCCCCTAGCAACATACATCGATAATGAGGATGTTCACTGTATGCTTATCTGAACTCTGCCCACTTGGAGGGCTGACTCCTTCCAAGAGTGAGGCATTAGGAGGTCTGGCAATTAGCCACCTCTCAACAATGAGTTTATATCATTTTGGGTTTTATCTGAAAACATCCAACATCTGAAAGAAACAAGACTTTCTTTGAGAGAGAACTTTAATTTGTGGCTAGGATTTTTTTTTTTTAGAATGATCTGAATCACTGGATGGAAGTTTTAAAATCTTATACTGAAGATTCTTTCTAGGCCAGTCACTTTCTAGAGATTTCATGCTTAAAAACAACTCGACAAAAACTGAAACATTTTAGGCATGACTGTCACAATACCATTCCAAATTTAATTAGATTGAGTACATACTAATAAAATTGACTTTTAAAATTTATCTCCATAGAATTAATTTTTAATATCAGGAATTAAATTTTAATAAAAACAGTGCCTCCTGAAAGCCTGACCACTGTTACTCCTTTGTAGCTCAAGAAATGAATTAGTTTCCTTATAACTTTCAGATCTCATTTCCTTAATAACAAGGGGATCAATACGGAGACTGAAGATCTTGAAGAGGTTATCTGTTCTGTTTTCTTTCTTTCCCCAAGTACCACGTTTGACCCATTCCTGAGAGACAAAAATCTGAAGCATTAAAAACAAAACAAATCAAAACCTTGAGAGAGATTCCACACTGCATAGGAGTCAGACCATA